AGTTTGGAACCGCGCGATTCTTGGCTGACTTCCTTGAATAAGACGCCCTTCAGTTTTTAGGGTAAGGATTTTAGAAAAAAGTATCGTCTTATAGTTGGAAAAATACGGTATATTTCTGTTGATGCAACCTAAAACTGGATTGGCCTTTTTCTGAGCCACATCAGATGGCTGTCTATTTCAATCAACTACTTTGCCAGATTTTTTTTCACAAATATTCTTACCAAGCTAAGTATTCTCCATCATATATCTGGGCATTGGGTTTATATTTCGTAAGTGAATAATTTTCCATTTCTCCCTGTTAAATTTCTCTGTGTTGTTTTAAAATCTATTTCTTTAACCTACCAAGTTCATTTTTAATTTTATTTTCATCTTCTGGCATTTTAGCTAGTACAACCAATTTTGTTCGCCATGAATAAAAAGTGAATGAGTACAAGGTCCAGGACTAAAATTTGTAGCATTCCACTTGATACCACATTCCACTGAGGAACCATAGATGGGCACTTTCTAAGAAAGCAAGCTGTATTTCCATTTAATGATCATGCTATCCATCCCACACTTAATTACCTTGGTAATCTGAGTGCCACAGAATACTTTGTCAAATGCTATATTACGTCTATAGTATTCCCACAATGTATTAGGAAAGTTAAACCAATTAAAAAAACTAATCTTTGTGAGACTTGTACTTGACTACTCTGCTCTCCCAATGATATGCAATATTTTTCTACAGTGTGTGAGAAAATCTGAAAACATTAACTGTGCACTAATAGTTGGCAAAAACAAACAGTAATGAATTCAAAGAGTGAGACATGATTTTGCCCTGCATCTAATTTGCACTCAGGACATAAGCTAAGTCACATCAGGTCTATGGTATCAGGCAACAATTGTAGCATGATCTTCAGTAGGTTTGAATTGGATTTGAATTTTAGAACTGCTTATTTTCACTTGTACAGATTGACAATGACATTGTAAATTCTTTTTTAACTGGAGAAAATGTATCACCACATATGGTCTACTAAAATGTGTCTATTTCAACAAAATACAAGTAGCTATAAACATCATATAGAAATTATACTATCCAGAGTCTCTGGATTGAAGCAGCACATAAACCCAAAAAATAAAATAAAGTAAAATTAAATTAAATTAAATTAAAAAATGCAATACAATACAATACAATACAATACAATACAATACAATACAATACAATACAATACAATACAATACGACAATGCTGCCAAACTTTTCAGCAGGCTAGTTTTATCTTTTCACTGCTTAGCTGTTCTTTATCCAATAGGCTTTGCACAAATACTATAGAAAACAAGCAGTCATAGCAATAATCATATATTCGTAGGGATTTTGTTTGATTAGCTTTAGCTCCTTTGTATTTTGTATGGGAAAATAAACTGGTACAGCACAGGCCTTATCAGTAGTTCCTTTTTTGTTATTGTTATTATTCCTTTCTTAAAACAAAGGTAGGATTAGGACATTATGAAAATCAGACTGTAAACTTCAGTCATCAGGCACAAAATAAACTCCATGGCATTTACCAAACTCATAACGTAGTATGTATTACTCATATAGCATATTTTTTTACAAAATCAAACAGTGATGGCTGTTTTGATCCTCCACATATAAACAAAGGTTTTCAGAGCTGCCCTTATTTAGGCAAGATAATAAAACCACATATGCCTTCAAAGACAAATAAGGATTAGTAAACATAGCTTGCCTCATTTGCATGTTTCTCCATGTAGTTGAAAGCATATTCATCAGCATCCACCAAAAGAAAGATGTGGCCATGGAAACACACTTTGGCTCCAACATACAGATCCTTAGCTGTGTAATATTCAGATAGCTCACTTTTATAAAGCTCTTGTCCAGGCTTTTTAATGCGATTTCTTTCCAAGAATTTCCCACCAATTACTCCTATAATGAGAGAACCATAAACACACTGGATCTTTCAAACATAAGTTATAAAGTACACATTAAAATAAAACAAGACTCATACATTTCCCTCATCCATATTTAATTTTCTATACCCGAGCCCACGTAATAATTATTTCCATTCATTTCCTCCCTGCCCCCAAATTTCCTGTTGTATTCATGATGTTAATGTAATCAAATGTCATTCTTGTATTTCAGGACGATGAACAAACTCACAATTTTTAGAAGTTTTCACCAGCCATTGAGAATCATACCATCATCTTAGGAAAAACTAGAGGGATTACAGCAGGTTGGATTCATAAGGAGTTAGGAAAATATTAAGTCAAATGAACTGAATTTTATTTTTTTATAATTTTATTGCAATGTAAAAAAAATAGAAATCAATATGCACATTTAATAAATGTATGAATTCATATCTAAACAAAAATAAAATAAAAAGAATAAAATAAAATAAATAGGAAAAAACAAAATTAACATACTAAATTGAATAACAATGTATCTGCTTACACATATATTTATGCTTATAAGATATTATAAAATGTATGCCAAAGGGAAATGTATTGTGTCTTTTTTTTAATTAGTAGGAAAAAATAGCCTTTTCAAAAATTGATGTTACAGATTTCTTGAATCTAGCCTTTGATATCTGAGATAATACTACTTTTCCAGTCTCTCAATATGATTCTTTTTTCTATTCCCCATGCCTGATATAACCAATATTCCCCCCAAACAGTCAGATTCCATGATTCTGAAATATAATTTAACACTGCTATCTTTAACTTGAAAACATTTATCCATACATTTACTTATATATGATGAAATACTATTCCAAAAAGAAACCAAAAACAGACTTGACCAAATCATAAGAGCTAATGTACCATCAAATTTCTTACATCACTTAGAAAAATCTATACTCCATCCTTTCTGACATATTCTTTGAGGAGGCCAATAAACTCAGAATAAAATTTTGCTGAATTAATTTCAACTTCAAGTTCAAAGAAACAAATGTAAGTTTTTAAAGACTTGCATTGATTGCTTTGTTTTATTTGTTTGTTTGTTTAAAAGATTTCGATGGCCACCCATCTTAGAGCACAACTGAGTGGCTCACAACAATAAAACAATTTTAAAAACCCATACCCATTTCCGGATATTCTAACTCTTTATTCCATAAATCATAGGTATCAGTAAATTCTTTTTTTATACTTTTTATTGGAGATTTTAACAATAGTAAAAAATAACATAAACTGAAATCAAAGAGAAAGAAAAGAAAGAAAAAGAAAAGAAAAAGAAAAAAGCATATTTAAAGAAGTGACTTCTGATCTTCTTTACAATAAGCAAACATAGTATTTCTCTACCTCCTTTGATATTACATTACATAAATCACTCCCATATCTCAACCCTTATCCATCCACAAATCCACAAATCATTGTTTCTATCCGATATCAACAAAAAGTCCATAAAGGATTCCCAGAACTTTATAAAAGTATTTTTTTTTAACACTGATCAAACAAGTCAACTTTATATTCCTTTCTTTTGCTCCTAACGTTCTTAATATTTGCTTCATTACGATGCTGTTATAGGATTTGATCTCTGTCCAGATTTTCTTTCTCCTATCTCAGGAGTTTCCTCATGGCTTTAATAGCCCTCTTTTGTAAATCCAATAATGAGTCATTGCCCAAGTCATTTTTCATTTGGTTTATTGTTTGAATTTCCACTTTAGTTTCCATCTCTGTCTTATAGTCCAGAACTTCTATTTTATTTTCCAGTATTTCTGTGTAAACTGAAGTTTGTTTTACCTCTTCATCCTGCTGATCTAAACTCTTCCAAATTATTCTCCTTTGCATCTTTCATTTCTTCTTTAAGATATCTTTTAAATAGTGTATTCACATGAGCAGATATCATCGCTGTCACTGTAGCTGTGAGCTTTTCTCCCATTTCTTCAAAAATACTTTGAAATGTCTCCAACGTAATACGTTTATCTGTCATTTTTGCAAGTTTTGCTGCTGATCATCAAATTCAAAAGTAAAAAACAAGGCTTTTCTTTTTTTCCCTCTACCTGGAATCTTTAGTCCCCTCTAGTGTCTCTTTTTTGTAATCGCATAGGCTCAAATTTCTTTTGCTCCTTTATTTTAAAAAATCAGCCAATCATCTCTTCCCTGAAAGACTAAACAATTTATGTTCCCACGAATATAGTGTTTTGTTTTTAATTATTTCAAAAGTCTAAAGCAAAAGTCTTAATATTTCAAATATTAAATCAGATATTTCAAATTTGTCTTGTCCCTTAGTTCATTTCAAACTTTCTTGAATTAAATTCTTACCTAGCTTTTTGTTGTTTACTTTGTATTCTTTACATTCTTTAAACGGTTAATTATTTTTTTTCCTTTATTCTAGAATAAAGGATCACTCATCCGGTAGTTTTTCAAACTTGTTGCTTAGAAGTTCTCTTTTAGCTTTAAAATAGTTATATTCCAAAGGTGTTAGAAAGTGAAGCTTGACAAACCCAGCATTCATATAGGCTCGGCTAGAGTTGAGAGCTTGATGGCTTCCCTCGTCTCCTGGCACTCATACCCATGAGTCAACTGCTGTCCTGCAGTCTCCTCGCAAGGAGCAACCATCTGGAGCGCAAGTGTGTGATCTCTCATCCTCTCCTTATCTGGAGAGGTTCCACAAGACTGGGTTTGTTGCCGGTCCATCGGTTTTGGCCACAGTGTTGTCTCCGCTCCTTCGAAGACGTCTTAGCTTGCTATTCCCGCACTGAGAAATCCAAATATCAGTAATTTCAACTTTAAAGATATTTTTGAATTTCTGAAGTCAGTTTAATTTCAGAAAGACTCAATAAAAAATGATAGCATCTCAAGCTTCTTTGAGGCAGTTAAGGTATCTGGTCCATATTGAGAAATCAAAACATGCTTAAGTTGATTATATTGCCACTGATGTGTATTAGGCAAAGAGAATTCTATCTGTAGTTGTTGAAAACTGTTATATTAATCATTACAAAGTAATTGATTTAAAATAACTATTCCATACTCTGCTCTTAACCAGGAAATGAAAGACTTTGCTTACTGTATGCTGACCCAAGTAATTGTCAAGTTCTTGAGGAAATTTATAGAGAGAACATTTCCTTGTCTTCCTCATCCCTGCAGCCACTTCTGCCTCCTAAACCCTCTAACCAGAGGATAAGCTCCACAAAATGAGGAATTTGGCAAAGTTATGAGACTAACTTGTCCTACTGATTTCAGTATTTTGAAATATATAATGTTAATATAAAAAAGCTGAAGGCAGGAAAAGATAGAAAAGAAACAGATTCCCCACCTATGCTTGTTTCTTCAAACAGTCATCTGCGCATTCACACATATGGAGACGATGTATCTGTGCAGAGCACAAGTAGGAATCTTCTACAACAGGAGAGGACTTTTTGGCTGTACATTTCTCAGTTCCCCAAGACCGGCTAAGCAGCCTATAAAAATTACAGTGTACCTGACGTAGAAGTACCTGTCAAGGAACAGTGTGAGATTGTGTGCATATATAGATGACCATGTAAAATTCCACAGCTACATATAAGCAATGTGTTCTTCTTTGTGGTTTCTCTGGAGAGGAGACCACTTCCTATCCAAATGAGGCATCTCTTAATGACTCAACTATAATGTCATATGAAGATGGAAGATGTAGGGAATAGGGAAGATGACCTTGACAGAGATATGAAAGATCTGTTGCCTAGGCAAAAAGGGCTGAAGCATTTTTAAGTCCACAACAAGATAACATTTGGAAGTGGCTCAGGCAGACCCCTCCCTAATTCACTGAACTATAAGAAGAATGGGGAAAAACAGACCAATCAAACTTGCAAGATTCTTTTATTATAGCCAATCTCAATAAAAGTAGTTTTAGCCTACCTGTGGAGTTGATTTCCTGGTCTTGTGGGGCTACTAGTGGAGGGTTGCATTCAACTAGCAGCCTTATGCTAACTGACATCAAACCCCTGCCCAGAATATAACTAAGGTGACCATGTTGGCCATGATAGAATATAATCTAATATGATCTGTAGGAGTCTTATTATCCAGGGAACAGGCCAATGTTATGGTTGTACAGACCATTTAGTAAATTCCAAGTAAAGAGATCTGGCTAGTATGGAAATAGACGGCAACAAGTATCCAAATTTGGAAGAATGTGGAGAACCAGGATTGTCTTAGCCACCAATGGGTATCTAGCATATACAGGAAATCATTTCAGATAGCTTTTGATCCTGATTAATGAAGGGATTGGTGGGAAATTATACAGTAATGATTGGTGCAAAGGAAAAGGAGGAAATCCTCTATGGAATCTGGACTTCTGCATAGGCTGCTGCAGAAACAGCAGCACTGAATATTCTTGTCCAATGCAAAGAAATCAATAGACAGAGTGTGATCTGGTGACATATGCATCACTTTCAGATGCAAGGCATATGTGATAAGAGATGGTTAGGTGGAAATGTGGAAGGACTGAATGCTTCCTTGCTTGTTCAGTTAGAAGACCAGTGTGATACTGTTGGAAAAAATTCAAACTTTTCTATTCTGAAAGATGGGGCTAACAAGCAAAAACTTTTGGAAACAGTAAGAGTTCTAATAGTTTATGTTATGAATGTGTTTAGAAAGGAATCTTGAGAGGACCTCTTAAAATCCCAACCTGTTGTTGAAACATCATAAATGAGAAGTACAGAAGGGTTTGAGGGAGAAAGGAGAGGCCTGAGTAGTTCCAAAGTCTGCAAATCACAGAAGAGGTGACCAATCTGTCAGTGGAGTGGGAACAGGAAAGGAAAACAGTCATTGCTGGAAAACCTGCATGTGGAACTTGGAGAATGGCATTGCTGCCACGATTGCAGCCCTATGCTTCAACAATGTTTGGGCAGGCTACAATGAGATGAAATGTTGGGAGTAACTGTTGTTCACAAGATGAATAACCTACTAGACCTTGTCACATGGCAGAAATACTTTGGTATAAATGCATTAGTCACTTCCCTTCCCCAGAAAAAAAAAATGGTCAGTAGAATAAAATCCAATTTGGGGCTGACTTTTTAGTTAATCCGAGTTTGGTTCAGCAAATTTTCTTATATAATGAAGATAAAATGCTTCATAGAAGGGACCTGTCTTAAAGGTAGCAGACAGAGGGGAGCTGTTTGAAATCTATAAGAATATGAAAATCCAGATTACAGAAGATAGGTTAACTTTTACAGCAAGCTGGTTACCAATAACATAAAAGGCTGTTAATTTGAAGAAGTAGCTACATTATATAGTAAACAAACACTTTTATTGTCAGTGTAAGTTCTGATTTTTCTTTTCCAGAGACTTCTATATGTTAACTATATAAAATAATTTGGGCCATTAAAATGTGCAAAAATAAAACCAGTCACTCACAAAGCAATAATACAGATAACACAATTCAATCAAGTTCATCCTATACATATACATATATACACATACACATACACACCCATACATACACGCACACACACACACATACTACATTTCTAGAAGGCTGAGGATAGTTTTTAAAACATATACAGGTAGTCCTCACTTAACGACCATTTGTTCAGCAACCATTCAAAGCTACAGTGGCACTGAACAAATGGTAGTTATGTCCAGTCCCCAAAGTTATGGCTGTTGTAGCGCCCCTGGGGTCACATGATAAAAATTTGGGTGCTTGGCAGCCCACCTGCACATACAACCACAGAGGTGCTTCAACTCTATCCATCCGCCTATCTCCCTGCCCATCTCTGCCCTTTTGGCTCCCCTGCACTCTGCTGCCTCTGCCAGCCCTGCCACCCTGGGCTCTGTTGGCCTTGCCACCCTGGACTCTGCTGGACCTGCCGCCCTGGGCTTCACTGGACCTGCCACCCCAGCTGACCTTCACCGTCTTCTTCCTCCTGCTGCTGAGGCATGCCTGGCCCTTCACAAGGCAGCTGCTGGTCATGTCAGGCCTTCTTCCTGAGGCCATGTGCAGCCTTGTCCAAATCGCATGCAATCTTCTTACAGGGCTTTGAAGCCTTCCAAATCCTTGCAAGAAGGCCACACATGATTTGGACAAGACATGAGACCTTGGGAAGGCCTGGTGTGGCCAGCAGCTGCCTCGCACAGGGCCAGGCTGGGTGCACCTTGTCAGCAGTGGGAGCAAGAAGATGGCAAAGGTCAGCTGGGAGCAATGGAGCACAGGGCAGCAGGGGCTTTGCACCTCAGCGCTGGCTGGGGTGGGCTGGCACAGCTGCGACTTTGTGAAGGGCCAGGCCAGGTGTGCCTCATCAGCAGTGGAAGGAAGAGGATGGCGAAGGTCAGTTGGGGGCAGCAGGGGCGGTGGAGTGTAGGGCGGTTTGTGTGTCCTCCCGCCCCTGGCAGCAGCCACCCCTGGCCCAGCTGCACTTGTGCTGGGCCGCAGCAGCCACTTACCCGCCTGCTGGTCTGCTTGCAAGCTGCCCAGGACTCACAACTTCCTGCTGGCTTCCCCATTGACTTTGCTTGACATGATCGCCATTTGCAACCTTTCCTGATGGCTTCCCCAGATAGTCAGTGGGGAAACTGGCAGAGAAGGTCATAAGTCGCTGGGGTAAGTCTCCCCCATCCGTGCACTCATTATTTATTTATTTTTATTTATTTATCATATTCATGCAGCCCTTGCATCCTTGTGCACCCTCCTTGAACTGTGCTGTGCCTTTCGTGCACCCCCTCACACTCTCATGCACCCTTCTAACCCGTGCTGCACTATGCCCCTCACACTATGTCTCACACCCTCCCCATGCTGCACCTCTCCTCTTGTGTACCCCTTTGCACCCTTGTGCACCCTCCCTGCACCTTCCTCGAACACACCACACCTCTCGCACACCCTCGCGCACCCACCCATCACCTCCCCCATGGTCTGTCCACCACCCAGCAGTAGCCATTTATCTGCCTGCCAGTCTGGGACTTGTAACTTCCTGCTGGCTTCCCCACTAACTTTGGTTGTGGGAAGCTGGCTGGAAGTCACCTCACCTAAAGACTATGGGATTCAGTTAATGATGGAAACCGGGACTGCAGGGATTGCTATCGCTAAGTGATGCAGTCACACTTTATGACCGCATCACTTAGCGATGGAAATTCCAGTCCCAATTGCCATTGTAAGCTGAGGACTATCCTCTTCTTTATCATAATTGCTTACAACAGAATTACTTTCTCACCTGTATTTCGTTGGGGAGGTTCAAACACTGATATGGTGTCATCGCTTAAATAATAAGAAATAAGGAACTTCCGATCTTTATCAATGGGATCAGGAGTAATAGGTTGCGCAAGGAATCGCAATATATTACTTTCAAGGCCTTGTCTGAAAAAGCAGAGGAAAAGATATACAAAATTGTGTGTCTCACTTTCCCTTTATCTGGAGTAACAGATAATTCCATTTTGTAAAATGAATTTTGTGAAATGAATAAAACATTCCATAATCAGGATTTATATTAATTTGATTCCTGCATGAAAGACACAACACCATTGTTCATGCCCAGTTTTCCCCTCGATGCAGTTCTATTGCCAATCCAATTTATTATTGATGGAGATTCAGTCTACAAAAACAAATGATTATGGTTGTTGTGTTTAATAAAATAAACTATTTAATTGCTGTTTACTTATTGGGATATCATACAAAAACAATATAGTAGAGTCTAGTAGTTCTGTTCTACACTGCATAATAGACATTTTTTAATAGTTCTGGAATGAATTGATAACTGTATGAGGTATTCCATAGCTAGGCTTTCTCCATTAATTCATGAAATTTACCCATGTGTTACAATGATCTAGATATCTTATTCCAATAATTGCTTTATAAATCCCAGACTACCTCGCAAAATAGAACATGACAATCAACAGGATATGTAAGTGATTACACAGTGGAACCCAGAAAAGACAAGTGGAAAATAACAATGGCTTTTCTTTTCTTTGCTTGAATATTACATAACCACTATGGCAGTTCTTAGAACTTTCTTTTACATATTTGAAATTCATGAAAATATATTAGGTGATCAATATTAGGAGATCAAAACTCTGCTAATAGAATTTATTGTCTACCTGACGCACAGGTAATGTGAATGCAACAAATGCCCATATCTAATTGTTATTATGAAAAACAATGACCATCTCTTCCTGTCTTTCACTCACTCTTTCTGAAATGGGGAGAAAAGATTCTGAATATTACTTTTATCAAATACCTGTCTTTTTCCATGAATTTCTTGAAGTCCTTTTGGGGAGGCTTAGGAAGTAAGCCAACGCAAGAGCAAAGAGAGTCTTCTTCAGATCCAAAACCACTGTATGGCGGAATCTGTCTTTCTATTTTCAGAGAAGGTGGTGTCTTATATGGAACTGGAGTAAAATCCTCTGTGAAACACAATTCGCAAATCAACATATTTCAGTTTACTTCCTGAATATCAACTCTTGCGTTTTATACATGCTATAAATCTATTAAAATAAAATAATTCTCCATTTTTTGAAAAAGTCATAAAAGGGTAAGTATATATTTTAGGAAAGTAAGACATTTTTGTAAACAGGAATTTTTGTAAAGATTTCTCCCTGGATGCTTATCACCATTGGTATTTCCCTTTGCTTGCTGTACATTTTTTTAATAGATGGAAAAAGACTTGTGCATTGCCATAAATATTATTCTAGAAAACAGACCTGGATTCACATCATAACAGTTTTTAGATTACTTTAGTCTTTTAAAATATCAATACAGATTAGTAAATTTTACCTGTAGTAATTTCATAAATATGATATACTTCACAACATTCTTTACTCCAGCCAGCTATGCCTATTTTATATTACTCCAGCCACCCTGCCCTCTCTAACATTAAATAATATGGGTAAACCAATGTATTCTCACTGAGTTCAACTAAATTACAGCTGCATATGTGTGAAGAGTCACTGGGAGTCAAGCAGCATATACAAATAATAATAACAACACACAAACACCTGGAGAGAGAGAAAGTGGGTACATCTGTATATATAAACATTCCTACAGGCAAGACACCTACAGAGTAAAATTTCAATTCTCCAGACATCCATTTAGTGAATTCTGAAAACAATGGGTACATTTTTATTTCAACCTTTCACCCCGCAAAGCAGACTGGACACTTATATAATTTGCATCATTTACATCATTTGCATCATTTACATAATTGCTTTTATAACATAATTTGTATCAATTTACAACATGTGCATATTTATATAATAACATTATATAGTTATGTACATAAACTGATACAAATGATATAAAATTACATAATAATGCAAATTATATACATTATGTAAATTCAGCTATAATGGACATTTTGATTTAATGAGCATCCCTTTCCCCAATGATCCATTAAATTGAGGGTTTGCTATAAAGAGTATATAGTCCTCATGACTCTCAGTATCTAATGTGTACCTCTAGTTGATGGACCGTGGTCAACAGTATTTTGGCTTTCAAGGGAGTGTGTTAGCTTTGGAAGTTACAGATGTTTGACTTATGGAAGAGTTTGCTTCAAAATGGCACTGAGGACTGCTGAATATGATTGCAGTAAAGCATTCCAAGGATAAAGGGAATGTTTATTTAGTGGTTCAACACTGAAGAAGGCATAAGGCCTCACAATGTCCTCTTGCCTGTTTAAAATATTTATAGATAAATGTATAAAAAATACTTGTGGTATCATTAGAGATGTGCTGGTTGGGAACATGAGTATACATGTACTTTTCCAGGCAGAATGTGTTGTTGGCTGAGAACCCAGAACATTTACAGCAAATATTAGACTCTATGATGCAATGAGGAATATGATTCTAAAAACCAATGTATCAAAGAGAGAAGGAAAATAGAGTGAATGATTAAATAAACGGTGAAAAATTATAACAAGTAGTTGAATTTGTGTACTTGATAAAATATTTACTAAAGATTGGAAAAATGGGTGGAGATTTTTTTAAAGATGTACAACTGCTGGTGGAAATATATCAATAGGATGTGACCTATGACAAGGAATGAATGTTTGTCAAAAGAAGCAAAAAATCTGCCTCTTTTGTGATATGGAATCAAGAGTCAAAACTGTAGGTTGAATGTAATGGAAATAGGGTACAGTACTTAAGAAGTATGTGTAGTAAAACAAGAATAGAGAGATCAAGGATGAAAGAGTGATGAATGAATGTGGATTGAATATAAAAATGAGAGTACCCAGTACAAAAGAAGTACATTGAGTGGTTTGGTCATGTAAAAAGAATGAATGAAGATTAAATCACAAAACAAATATATTAAGGAAAAGTGAGTGGGTTGAGAGGAAGGAAAGGGCCAAGAAAGTTGTGATTAAATAGAGCTGGTATAGACTGAGAGAGGTTAGACGCCTGACAAACAAAAGGCAGTGCATGAATCAGTATATGAATATTGTGAAAGCAAGGATGGTTTGCCAAGACTGAAAGGTGTGGAATTATGCTGAACAGGGTTGATGTAAACTAAATTTAGTTAAGAGTTCCTTTTTCTTTTTTCTTATCTTCTGGCTTCAATTTCTTTTGCTTATTGCTTCTTACTTCCTTTATATTATGCTGTTTATACCAAAAGGGAATAACATAATAAAATATCCCAAACAATAACTGGGAATGTTCCTTGAGAACAAAAACTTTTCTAATGTGCAGTTATCTTCTTGCTGAATCTGAATTTCAGGACTTGCATAAAAATAGAATGCTGATTAAGATCTTCCTTGCATTCCAACAGTGCCACCTAGTGCACTTCTAGAAGATGGGCTAACTACATTTAAATGGTTATTCCAAGACAACAAAGACTGTAAAAATGGAAAGCCAGCTCTTCTGCCTTCCTCTCACCCAGCAACTGCAGATCACATCAAATTCAGTTTGAAACTGAAAGCAATACATTGTGTTAGTGTCTCAAGTGTATTTATTTTACTCATTTACTTGGGCATTTTGGCTGCTTTAATCCCCGGATTCTAATAAACACGAGGCAATTGTTCCTCTCATTCTCTCAGAAGCATTTCTGCCAGGCATGATGTAAAAAACATCTTTCTCACAAGCAACCACACATTGCTTTCAGCCAGAGAGTGCCCAACAGAAATAATAAAATGATAGAGATGATCAGGCTCAAACAGCACACTCTAGCTCCAGATAATCATTTTCAATGCAACAGGCTTGTTATTTAAATTCACACTTAACTCTCCAACTGAGATCAGTTCAACTTAAAGGACTTGAACTTAGGTTTTGCAATGGATGTGATCTCTCTAATAGAGCTCCCATGACCAAGTTTTATTCCAATCTGATATTCAGACACCAGTTTGTCTAGCACTGAGTAAACAAAAAGTGAATCAATTAAAGGAGGCTGATCAACTCTTACCTCGTCTGAAGATTAAAATAATCAGGAGTCAGAATTCAAGTCCATGTTTGGAGCAGAACACCCATTACCTAAAATCTTTTTCTCCTTGGAAGCTGCATTTATTTACTTAATTAATTAATTAAAACACTCACGGGGAGTGCCTGGAGATGGTACTGAAGTGGGCAGGACAGGGCTTTTTGGCCATATTTGCAAGTTTCAGAATTAAATAGCTTGACACACGTATTGTAAATCTACAATCATAAAAAGGTCAAAAATTGTGCCACAGAAAATTATTTCAATGGACTGATCCTGGGGAGGTCTGGGGGTCACACAGAACCTAGAGGCTGCCCATTGACCTAAAGAATCATAGATGATATTTATTTATTTTTCCCCCAAGAACTTCCTAATAATAAGAGTTACATGGGAAGCCTTAACCACTGTTGTACTAATCAGAGATTACTTTAAATTTGACTTAAATCAACATTCCTTTAATTAAATCTACTATACCTTAACCACTATCAATAATTTAAATAACTGTTCCTTGCTTTTCCAGAGGTCTTATATATTTTGACATTTATAATGTACTCTTATCCTCATCTTTTTCATACATTTGGTTTTTCAGTGCCTTCACGATTCTTACTGCTCTCCTATGCGTATGTTATATATATATTTACAGTATATAAAAATCCTCTTTGAATTGTGATACCCAAAATGAATATAATAGTGGTACAAATGGGTATAGCATCACATCTTTAATTAAAACTCATCATGGCTGTCAACATCTTGCAAGTACTATAATTAAAAAGAATTCAGTCATGCAACCTGCTGAAAGAAAAACGGAGTATTTTACTACCAGTGGATGGTGAGGCAAACACTAGCCTGATGGGGTAGACTGGGATTACTCTTACTTTTCAAAATATACATAAAAAGCATGGTCATACAGTCACTGAAGAAGTGCCAGGAAAGAAGACACCATCTTTCAAAAAGAGCCCAGTGATATTGTAAGCATCCTATGCTTTTTTTAATATTCATATACATATACATTTTATATCTTCCCCCAACTCTGAAATGTAAAGCACTGGAGCCATTGCTAAGATTGGCAAGGCCAATTTATCTTATACTTAACTAAAAGGAAAAGTCTCTTAATTTAAGGAAGATTAAACAGGAAAAAAAGCTTCTATTAGCATATTTTTTAAAAAACTAACATAGCCATTACATTTTAAGGGTGAGATGTAAGGGTAAGAAGTGAAAGAAAGTCTAATTTTTCTGACTCTTTACTGGCCAATAAGTTAATATGTCTTGATTATGTCTGTTAAACATTTTATAGACAACTGGCTCTAAACACTCTTCCCAAAATTTTGAGTCTTATGGACAAATTACAATCATTGCTAAAATCCAGAGAGATAGTTTGGCCCAGTTTATTCATCAAAGCAAGACAGATGTTTGTTTTTTAGTAAATCCATATTAGGTTGTTAGTCTTTCAGAAGAAGAAATCTATTACAGTTTTTAAAATTAAACAGAGTTTATAAATAATTTAACTGCTGCTACAATTATTTTGACTTTAAAGCTATTTGCAGCTTGGAACTAAGAATCTTAGTACATAAACATTACATTTTGTTTATATATCACAAAGAATATTGCCACAATATGTACATTGTTCACTACAATAAACACTATATGAAGCTAGTTCTGAAATATTGGATATATGAGAAAGACAGAGAAAGAGAAAAAAGATACTAAAACAGGTATTTTAAGACCATGAATAAAGAGAGATCAAATCAAATTATATTACTTAAAGAAATTATGAATTATCTGTACGGAATTGAATATATTTACTTGAAAGTAGTGACTTTGGTGAGAAATACTTTTAAAAAAACTATACTTAAAATTGTGATAAGAGCCAGTTTGGATTAGGGGTTAAGTAGGGCAAGCCACTTCTGAAAAACCTTGCCAAGAAAACTGCAGGGGCTAGTCCAGGCAGTCAATAGGAATCAAAAACTGACTTGAAGACACACACACACACACACACACACAAAGTGAAATCAACAACATTTCACAAAGAAAATTAGAGATGAAGTCAGCAAAGTAATATATTTAGTATAATTGTAATTTCCTTCACATTTTCAAATGTAGTTAAATTATCACAGGCACATGAGTAGAGAAATAACAATAGTCACAATGCAATCTAAAAATAATGAAGATTTGACAATGGTCCAATCAATTTACTACCTTTTCTATGGAGTAATGTTTTATAAAGAATTTGACAGAGAAAATAGCTTTAAAGGATTAGTTAATATATGTATCTCTGTGCTGGGCATATCTCTTTGGTTAATGAAGAAATGCACATTTTGAGGCTTAAGTCATTTTTGTTAAATAGATTTTTATGTATTTTAATACAAACAAACTATATTCATTAAATATAAAACATTTAAAAGTTATTCTAATTTAAAGTGCAAACAAAATTAGTGTCACTTGGAAATTATGCAAAATCAAATGAAACATTAGGAGAAAAAATGTTATAAAAGCTGCTCAGTTCCACAGTATACTAGAGGTCTGCCCTCAGTCTTACTGCTAATCTCCAGTGTGCCTTGGAAACAGCCTGATTTATCATTTAACTTAGGCACTCATTGTGTACTCTGACTGCCCACAACTTTCCTGATCACTCACAATGCCTAAAATGGAGAGAAAAGATGATGATAACAACCAAGTTTAAAGAACCAGATTTTTAAAGAGACAAACCAACAGAGAAGCAAGTAAAAGAAAGATCAGGTCTAAGAATTCTTGTAAGAAGTTCTTATAAGAAGAGCAAGAAGTTGACCAATTCTTGTAAAATCATGGACCTCTTATTTCATCCTCTTACTCACCCAAGTAACATATTTTAAAATTCAGTTAATTGGTAGAAAATAATGTACGCAGCTTTGAGGTTTCTAGTTGGTCCAATTTCTCTTTTGTTATAGACAATCAGCACATGGAATTACCTAGATTCTAGTGAAGACAAGGGAATCCAATCTCCATTCCCCTCCACACACAGCCATATTATATTGGCTTGTCCTCCAAATTAGCATTTTGTGTTTTAAAAGTAGGATTTGCAAGGTGTGCTCCATGTACTGCAGTGGAGGACATCTCTTTCTACACACATTTTTTACAGGACTAAATTTGTCCTAGCTATTGAAAGTGATATGGCAGCCCAAAGTACACAAATTCCAGGTAAGCCACTCTTTCCCATATGGCAGACATGAACATGCCAAAGGCTACACCTGAATTTTTGGTGGTGCACTGGGAACCATGGTCCAAATAATTTCATTTTATTTATTTTTAATTTACTATTAAACATGATTATTCACATTTTTAATATTTTTCCTTCTATTCCATTGCAAATTATAATTTAGTAGCAATCTTTGGCCATTTCTGGGGGCTACATCCAGAGATGGCAGCACATTCGTCCAAGGGACTCAGATATGGCAGAATCTTTGTCATGCAAGGATATTAATAAAAGCATTCAGCTCCAGTTGGTTAGGTTCCTATATAGATGTTAATGCTCAAATCTGTACTACAAAGATGAAGCTCCTCAATGGATTAAAAAAACTAACTTGACAAGTCCACAATTTAAAATCAAAATATTGGTATTGTTACTTACTGACTCCATACTTTGTCTTATAATATTCTTTGGTAAATTCGTCACAATCACAGAGAAGTATTTTTCTTCCCCAAACATTGATTGTTGATCCTATTCTCAGGTCACTGTCCTTATAAAATTCCTGATACACTGCTCCTGTCTAGTAATTTGAGGGAAGTTGGGGGGGGGGGGGGAGAAAGAGAGAAATATATACACTAAAGTTTATAATTATTTTATTTTGAAAAACTTGGGAAGCTTCAGTTTGAGAAGCTTCTTTTTGTATTACATTATATTTTTGTATTACATTATACTTCTCCCAATTCACATTTTCACCCAACCTGGTTGTTCAAGTAACAGTCATATAAAGATCAGATTTAAATATAGTGAACTTGATAAATCATAATTGTCTAAAATAGCTTACCTTACGGTTATCCAGAATATAACGACCTTTGTTCCCTACTAGTCCTCCAAACACATTCAAGACTGTCCGATCTGTAATTGTACCAGGCTGAAATATTCCAGGTGGAGCATACTGGGATTCAAGGGAAAACGACACAGGCTATTAATGCCTGCAATTACCAAAGCAACTAAAGAAAGCAGCCAGGATTATCTAGTATCTGAAATTTTACAAAGTAATAAAAAATCTGTCTCATACAAAGCTACATTATATGTCCATCTAACCATTATTATCTGCTGACTGGGATTTTCCAGGGATTCAACCGGGAGCATTCTACATGTAAGGTGTATGTTCTACCATATGCAATCTTGTATTTCGTACTGAAACTGAATATAACAATATGCATGATCTTCTGAAATCACCAAGCAATACAGTGTTTATCAGTGATATTATCAAAAGCCAAGCATGGCTATTGTTAAGCAGAAACCTTTACCAGATGGTCATAAAATGTTTTTTAAAATTGTGAATCCAGTCACTAAGGGCATTTCTACATTCAAAGACTGTACTGATATGAGATTGATGTCACCCTTGTGTGTCCTCATGAACCCATATTGCTTATAGCAGATTTCGTGTGTTGCTGCTCCAAAGAAAATGCAATAATAGCAGACTTATCCCACTTCCTTGTAGCTGCAAGGCAGGTGGCTTCCCATTGGTGGGAATTCACATTTTGTCCTACCTTCCAGCTCCTAGAGTTTTCCTTCCCCTCTTGAAGTAAAGGTGCATGGCAACTTGGTGACAGATCCCACTGCCTTTTAGCCATGTTGAGATTCACCTTTGCCAAAATTGCTTGTTTTATTTTTTTATCCTCACTGTAAAAGAAGATG